AAATCAGAGTCAAAGCTTGGGTCATGTGTTGGATGGAGGAGCATGTACAAAACTCTACAGAGAGAGCATGAGGGCTGGGTTTGGGTGCTCACTGAAATCTAGATCTGGGCTATTTAAAAAAAAACAACTGTTTCCTTGGTATTTTTGGCCATTTGGCCTGCAGGTAATGGATAACTGTTCAGATTTCCCTCATAAATGTAAATAAAACACCTTGATGGAAACAGCTGGGATCAGTGGTTGCATACAGCATCGTCTCATGTCCCACCTGTCAACGGCAAACGGACCTGGTTTCTGATCAGTTACAGAAGCAGCCTGTGCCGCTTCTCCCTCCAACCATCGGCACCACTGTCTCTGTCACCACAGAGGAGAGAAGGCAGGAGCATCATAATTATTCATCATGTTCTTATGTATATTTAAGGGGCAGCTGCGGCGGCCTGTTCCTCAGCAGCTGCAACACAGCAGCACTGAGGCTGAGGTCAGTGAGGCCGAGGCTCGACGCCCGCAGACAGCAGGTGTCCTTCACAAAGAGCTGCCTACACACTGCTCTGCTTATTCCAGGCTGTGGAGGACATTTCTAGGATGAAAGTGAAAGTAGCGTGCAGGTCAGAACAGATACTACATGCCAGTCAGTCAGCGTTAGAAGTGCTGGCCAGGCACGTTGTTCCCTACCGATTCCAGTCTTTATGCCGTGCTAAAGGAAGCTGTGTATCTACAGCTGGTTCATACAAAACAAACAAAAAACGCCTTAGTGTGGTTTTTCTTATATTTAACACTGAAGAATAAAGTGAAAATAAAAAAGTCAAATAGATGAGACAATCTCCAAAAAGTCATTTATGCTAAAAAAAAAAAAAATGCATATTACACATCAAGAACAAGCATCTAGATTCTATGTGGTTTCATCTAGTTTTCTTAGCTAGTTTTGCACAGAAGCTGAATTATTTATGCAAGAAAAAAAAATGTTAAAAACAGCAAAAAGTACAGTGAGATTTCACTCACTGATGTTGATCTTGTGCTGTTGAAAAGAAAGTGGGACAAAAAAAAACATTTTCCAAAACATTCAATTATATCTTTAACCTAAAAATCCATCTCATCTGTTAAAGACAAGTGGTGCTCTCTCTCCGTCTCAGGACAGCACATGTGTAAACTCCTGTTTACTGACAGGGGGTCACTGTGTACGCTGAGGTAAACACAAACATGAAAGGCAGAGCTTGTGGTCTTGTTGACGTGTTCTCCTTGATACAACCTCTCATGTAC